CAGCAGGTGCTGTGAACAGTTACGTTTGGCTTGGTTTAGTTAGCACAATGTTAGTTCGCTGAACGTGTATACTCACCATTGTACGTGATGTGAATAGTGACTTTAATTTAGTGACATTAACTACCATATTAAATAGTCTACTACTAAAAAGGAAAGGCAAAATAACTACTGTAAAATACTTATTTTTCGCGGGCTCAATAGTTCGCGATTTAGGTAAAAGTTGGAGTTTTGGAATAATTCGCAAATTCTAATTTTCGCGACGCGCTGGGATCGCAATATAGATTTTAATGTCTTTACATTTTGCGGAATTGTTTGCGGGACCTATTTTTCGGAATTGTAGGCGATTCGCGAACTTTGCGAGAATTAGGTCCCCACAAAAATAAAGTCGTTTACAGTATTTTAAAGTAAAGAAACTGCCTTGATTCGCTTCGTCCTGAGTGGTGCTACGAAGAGAAGCAATAACATGTATTTTATGAGCCGTTTGTGTGGATATTGTTTTAGGGACTGCGCCGAATTGTTATTAGTTGTACCAATGCTTTTTAGTAAGAGATATCGTCCACGAACTTCGAAACACTGTTTCCCCTTTGACAGACTCCCGAGGAGAAGATCGAAAACTTGGAACCTTAATAAGCGCAGAGGTGGTCACCGAAAAAATGGTTACCTTCATTGTGTAGGCTATATAAGGCTCTAGAGCAGTCAACGGGTCTGTGAATAAGCTGTTCAGTGCGTCATGGTGTTTGTGTTCGTTTCTAATGTAGCTTTGTGAGATGTATTTAGTAACTCATAGAACTCGAAAATAATAAAAATTGTGTAACCGGTTTTTAATGCACAAATGGCATCTTGAGTGTGGAGGGATAATATTTTTGGTATCTAAAATATTTTTTGATCCATATTTATAATGTATTTTGAATACCTTACGCGCGTATTTCGAGTGCGGCCAAAATAATACAGAATAAATACAAAATGAATATTCGTATTCAATATATTTCAACTTCGTTTGAAGTACGATCTCTTTTCGCTAAGGGAGGCGATGCATTCAGCGCAAGGAATTCGGGTTTCAATGAGTATCCGGAGTCTCGGTCTCTTTACCTTCTGTAAAAATCTTGTTTTATAGAGTTTTGTACAAATATATAAAAACATCACTGCGCCCCGTGGAAAAGTATCGTTTAGAAAAGGTACATATAATATTTTGGTGAAACACACAATATAACACCTATGTCACGCAGCTAAAGAAAGAGATAACGGAAATTATGCAGCTTTCAGTTAAAAGTAAAACTGTGAAACAAGTGAATATTTGATTTGCGTGTATCAGTTGGAGATACTGCCGCTTCTTATAACCGCACATAATGAAGATGCAGAAAGTAATTTTACAACTACGTTGCCTTAAAAATTCCATTAGATAAACTGCTAAGACATACTTCACTCAGCAATTTATTATGAAATGATAGTCTTCCCGAACCGATATGTTATGTCAAAAAGTTGAACTCAGATAAACGCGTAAGAAAGTTCAGAAAGATGTAAGTTAGATAGATGGTGTTGGCATGTCGGTAATAATTAATTACGGAAAAATGCTTTAGTTACAGGTGTGAAACTTTCTGACACCATCCAGCGGGAATTCTAAAATTGATAAGACAACTTCCTAAAATGTGACTTAAAAAAAGAAATTGCAATTTTAAAGTAGTCTCCACCCCTTAAGTTTTAGGCTGGTCCCTTTGAATTAAGGTTTACCAGTACAGAAAACCTAGCTTCATGCTCGATGTCAGTATTCGCTACGGAACGTATAATTGCGAACTTACTTTGGCTCCAAATATTTTTCCGAGTTTGAGTAGGTAATATGAACGTTCCCATTATGGAACGCAATACTGAACACCAAAACTCTTCCTGAGAGGCGGTTTGAGCAATGTCAGGTGCCTAAATCTAGAAAACCAATTTTTTATTTGCATGTAAATTTGAGCTGGTGACAGATTTTGTATCTTTTACATAAGAAAAAAAAAATAATTCCCCCCGTACACACACACCACCGCCATGTTTCCCTCTGGCCCGTTTCAGCTCCGCTCTGAGGCGACTCGACACGTTGCAGCGAAAGGTTGCCCACCCCTGAAATAGAATAAAAAATTACAATATACTTTTTCAATTATTTATTTTAAACTTCACCTCGTACACCGCGAACGAAACAGGCATTTTATCTCGTAACTGGGTTGCACATATGATATTTCTAAGTAAAGAAAGAAAAAGTTCGCACATGAATCCATCTGTAGAAAAATATATGGGCGGTTTCATTTGGATTCAGGCAACGAGTGGAAGTCTTATTTTTTATTTTGCTTGCAATTTTGATATTTCGTGGCGCAAGTTCCAAGAATAACAATCCTTTTTAGTTTAATGTCCTGACATGTTTAGTTTCTGAGAAAAAAATCTCAAAGAAGCGGGAAAGAGCGACGAGGTTTTGACGATTGTCGTGTGTGGCGTTTTTTAATTACTCTCAATCTCAAAGTATTCAAAAGAGAACGTCTATATTTTTTTAGTGTGATATATATGCGTGTAGATAAAACGGCATTATAACTACTCTTTATTATTCGTCGCTATAATCTTTGTAAAAATCCCCAAACATGCCTCTGGGAACAACTGTGACCTAAATTGCGGATTTTGTTTTGAGTCGACTATGTTTAGTATCGCGTTTAAAATAACGCCACGTGTAGAACCTTTCATTGCCTTCCAAATTAAGCAAAGTTTGTGTTTTTATTGTGTCCGAGTACTGAGAAATAAATGATAAAACAGAGAGGGTTTTCACTTTTCGTTCAATTGCAGCACGCTGTATAAAAAAGATATATATATATATATACATTTTTTATATTTTTTTTGCTTCGCGTTTTCTTTACACCTTTCTTTTACCCAGAATACATTCCGTTAGAGGTATATGCACTAGTTCTTAGTGTTAGGCTTCTGAATATGGTAAAAAATGATTCGGTTTTTTACTATCAACATCGATTTCGCATTAGAAATATAAAATTTCGCATTTAAAATTCTAAGTTTTCAATAGTAAGTGTATCTTACTCTAATGTTTTACAATATTATGCTTTGATATACCTAGCGGAGTATACATTATGCAGCGCATAGGGTTTAGGCTTGAGGCCCCTCCAATCATGGCAGCGACGGAAATTGTCTTAAACCCTTTTTCGGCAGTTGCGAGTTTATAGTGTTTAGACGTTTGGAATTGCAAAATTGTTATTATACGCCTAACAACATTCATGTATTTTATATGAGTATTTATTCAACGTCCCTTAGAATATTAAAATAAAGAATAAAATATACAGCTATAATCCATAAAACCACCATCAGCATTTGCTCTTTCTTAGCATATTTAGAGGCTTAAAACTCAAAACTAGTGCATATACATCTAACAGAATGTATGCTGGCTGAAAAAAGGTGTAAAAAACGCGACGCAAAAAGTTTTTGAACAAAGTTTTTGTTTTATAATTTTTTTTTACAGCGAGCTGAAATTGAACAAAAAGTGAAAACCTTCTCTGTTTCATAATTTATTTCTCAGTAGTCGCACGTGATTAAGACACAAGCTTTACGTACCTGGAAGGCAATGAAAGATTCTACACGTAGTACTATTTTAAAAACAAAACTAAACATAGTCGACTAACAAAAAAATCCGCAGTTTAGGTCACAGTTGTTTGCGGAGGCATGTTTGGGGATTTTTACAAAAATTGGATCTACGAATAATAAATATTAGTTAGAATGTCGTTTTACCGACTTGCGGATATATCTCAATAAAAATATCGAAGCCCTTTTTTGAATAGTTTGAGAGTGAGAGTGGTTCAAAAATGCGACACACGAAAATCGTCAATTCCCACCATCGGCATTTGCTCTTTTTTAGCATATTTAAAGCCTTAAAACTCATAACCAAGGCAAATACCTCTAACGGAATGTATTCTGGATAAAAGAAGAGTGTGAAGAAAACGCGACGCGAGAAAAAAAAATTAAAAATGTTTTTTTTTTATACAGCGTAATGAAATTGAACGAAAAGTGAAAACCATCTCCGTTTCATAATTTATTTCTCAGTATTCGTACATAATAAAAACACAAACTTTGCTTAATTTTGAGAGCAATGAAAGGTTCTACTCGTAGTATTATTTTAAAAGCGATACTTAACATAGTCGACTCAAAACAAAATCCGCAATTTAGGTCACAGTTGTTCGCGGAGGCATGTTTGGGGATTTCTACAAAGATTAGAGCAACGAATAATAAATTGTAGTTATAATGCGTTTTACCTACTTGCATATATATCACACTAAAAAAATTTATACGCTCTCTTATGAACACTTTGAGATTGAGAGTGATTCAAAAACGCAACACCCGACAATCGTGAAAACCTCGTCGTTCTTTCCCGCTTCTTTGAGATTTGTTTCTCAGAAACTAAACATGTCAGGGTATTAAAATAAAAAGGATAGTTATTCTTTGAAAATGCGCCCCGAAATATAAAAATTTAAAGCAAAATATATAATACGACTGCCACTCGTTGCCTGAATCCAAATGAAACCGCACATATCTATATATTTTTTATTCTTAGTGTGACACCATGAGTAAAAAAAAGTATTTAACAAAATTCGACAAGCGGTTTTGACCACACAAGTGTTAAACTGCGGTAATATTTGTATTGCAAGCGAAATACTGAGAACTGGAAGGAAAAAAATAAGAAATATAATTACAAAATTTGACAAGCGGTTATGACTACGCGAGTGTTAAACTGCGGTAATATTTCTATTGCAAGCGAAATACTGAGAACTGGAATGAAAAAAAAAAAAAGAAATATAATTACAGCCATTCCACGAACGGATACCCTCCAGATGCCCGGTTACACAGTCACGTGTTTAGGAGTCCCTCCATAAAATTGAGTGAGGGGGGCGCTGAAATTCCAGGCGAAGTCAAGGAAGAGTGAAATTCGGTAGAAGAATATCAACCATTCAGAAGAATGCGTTTGGCTCTTTTCGCCGTAGAGGCTTTGCTGGTTCTTCATGGCACCTCTGCAAGCACGTCATACCCAGAACAAAATCCAGCGCTTCAAGAGTACCAGGATCAATCTTCGGTAAGTTTAAATACATAGATAGAAATGAAGTAAACAATATATATATATATATATATATATATATATATATATATATATATATTGTTCTTCTATTATGTCAACTTGTACCTGGTGTACCCCGAACTTAGCCGATGATGAGTGTAATCAAGACTAACTGGACGAATCACACAAGCCGTTATGTACTGACCTTGACCTCACTTTGCAGTTTTTTCCCCTCGAAGAGACATGGTACGTGGCGTACAGAAACTACGAGACGGATCCATTTTTCGGCGGCTCGGCTAAATGTGTCAGGTTCAGCGAGAGAGAACCCGGAGAAAACGGCACCTATCCAATTGTTATCGAGTACGATCCAAGCTTCTCAGCGTGAGTATACTTCAGTAGTTTGAGCATGAAAACGTCAAGAACTGGCAAGCTGGTTCGGTGACTTGTAACAAAAATTGTGCTTTATCAGCGAATTCTCGTAGAGGTCTGTTACCTTTGGTTGATACAGCCGGTTGTAACGGCCAGCTCTAACCTCGGGTTACGACAGCCGGCTGTCACAAAAAGCCGACACTGAAAAGCATTACACTTCTAGGAACCACATGAAGAAACCTCGGTCACCCGGCAAGATTTGAACTCACCATTTTTAACTTGAGAGCCAAGTGCTCTGCCGACTGAGTTATCCAAAGCCGGTTGTGTAGGCCATGACGTCACAGTCACGTGTGAGTTCGCGCGACACGTGACATCATGTGACGTCACGTGGCACATGACGCTACCGACCGGACCACGCACACACGCTTGCACGGTTTGGGAGCGTGGGCGAGTTTATAGGAGAAGGCTTTGCGAACGTTGCCCGATAACGCTATTGCGTTCCACACTTAAAAGCGACGCTTAAGCGTGCCCCTTGTTTTTCGCCTTCCCCGGAAGGCCTATCGGACATTCTGTGCTTACACCAGTGTTTTTCAGCATGATCAAGCTTGTATAATATTTCTTTACCTCCTGCTACACTCAAATCAGTAGAGCTTTCGTTTTAATTTATTTCATGTTATTGTGGGAAGATGTTTTTTATTCTTGTTAAGTCTGCTTTATAATTCAAAAGTGAGTAAGTAGTATTGATGTAATGGAAGACAATAACGATTCTTAACAACGACAGTAACAACCAATAGGTGCTAATTACCGCAGAAAACGCAGAGATTGCCAATCATGCTTACCTCGTTCGTTAAAAAAGTCCGAACCCGGACGCTGAGCGAGTTCATTTGAAGGTTTGAGCAACATAGGAGATAACTCAAATATTCAGAGCGCTCTATTCCAAGTGTCCATCAATACCACGTGACCATGCAATAGGTTCTTTTCTTCAATAAGATTGTCATGTGTTTCGGCAAATGCAAAAATCGTCTAAAATATGGCTTGCCCTCAGGATGCTTGAAGCTGTGCATCTTTCATATAGTATAAAAAATCCAAACTTCTCAAACGTTTCAACGTATTCCAACCGTAAGCACTAAACTCAGGCGGAAGTTGAGGTTTCAGCGATGGACAGTTCATTTCTCGGGTGGGAAATATTCGTTTCGTTTTGTTTTACTCCACTTCTCTTCTGCCTGAAATAAGCGACCAAATTCATAAACAATGTCACCCTTCTTGGTCAGTTGACCTACCCGCGTAGAGTGTAAGAACACTAAGCAGAGGGTTATTAACTTGAACTAATGTTATCCCTCCTTTAAGTACCAACTTGGTGAGGTGTGATTAGCGAATGATCTTCTTTATTTCACCTTGCGGTTGTGCGTAGCGGGTGCTATAAACCATTGAAATTAAGCTATGAGTTATGAATGTCACGGAGCGCACCAAGCTAAAAGTATGGTTGGAATTCTAGAGCCGAATGTATAACATTTTTTTTGTTGTTGCTTAGGGTGTGAAAGTCCCTTTATATATTATAACGGCGATGGATTTCATTGCAGTAATTTGGCAGTAACTCTCAGCTCATCTCCAGGATATACAGTAAAAAACCTTGTGAATTTTCAACCTCCAGGTAGTGAGTATTATTTCCTTCAAATCCCATCTTCAGACGGTCCTACAAGTTGTTACTACGGGTATCTGTATTTTTATAAAGCGTTTATATAAAGCGTATAAAGCAGCTTTGACAAAACAAAGTACTCGGATTTCAAAGAGAAGTAACCGTGAATACAATAACGCACTGCTGTAAACTCGCTCCGGTTGTATTAGAACTAAAATAAAGAACAGCCTCGTCTACGTGCCCAGACGTCATATTTTCTAACTGGAAGTTTAAAATTAAGAAAACTACAATTTTCACTTAAAAGAAAAACCTAATAGTTCTAAAATTTTTGCCATGATACAGTGTGTGCCAAATATAATATGATAGTGACTAAGCCATGGCAGGATCTTATCAGTCTTCAGCCAAATACTTTACTAGGAGAAGTACAAGACACTTCCTTCATTGGCATTAGACAGAACGATAGCCACTCCGAATCGTCCTCTTGTGGAGCGGCTTATTTGGTGACGCCTCTCCCCCCACCAATTATCTTCTCTCGATGCAATATAACATGAGCAGGGTGCAACTCAGGATGCGGTGCGGTCGACCGGATCTTGGATGCAAAGACGGTACCGCTGCCGCCGTCATGCGTCATTTCGCCGTCCTTCGTTGTCGTTTTTTTAAAATTATTTCCGAGGAGTGCCTTGTATTTCCCCTAGTTATGAATTTTCTCCAGCCGCCCCCTCCCCTCTCCGATATCTAAGACCCTATAGTATACGCATGCATTTTGCCCGCCTTCCCTCCGCTCCAAGTTTTAGCCATCCCAGCCATTGCTAACCCGACCGACCCCCCCCCCCCCCCCCCCCCCCCGGTATGTGCGAGCAGCCATTTCATTACCATTTTGCTCGAGGAGAAGGATGGAAGACACAAGTGTGATGCAGTCAGATAGCGGACTTAATATGTTTGTAACAAAATTTACCGTTTTCTTTTGTTTTATAGTTTAGACGGATAGGATTTCTTTATTAAGGCAAAATTCTGACGGAAATTAATTTGTATTTTCGCAGCTAATATGATGGCGTCGGGTTTTTCATCGTACAAAGACGTGAAGAAGTGCGATGTGGTCCGATTGCCCTACGCAGGCGGTAAGACTACTTCTTATATTTATCATCACGTACAACAGTTATCAGACATTTTCTGTACGGTATTAGGCTGCCCGCCTGACAGTCTTTTATTTCAATCCTTGCCCTTCAGGACCTTCGGGATTTTCTCATTCTCTTTGAGAATAAGAAAATCACTTCACTTAATGAACAGACAAACATTTAGACAATTTAATGGAGTTGCAACGTGCTTGACGCATATATCAATTTTATTCAGAGCGCTTGATAAAAGCATTGCTGGGATGTAGAAGGGTGATGAGCTGGGCGAGTTGGAAAGCGTTATACATGGTTAAAGTCAGCGAACAATGTGAGGAAACTGTAGAAGAGTACAGGAGACAGGAGAGGCGCTAATACCATTTCGTATTGGTTGTTCTAAACTTCGCGCCCTCCTGCGTTCCGAGGGTGATGAAGGAAACCGAAACTCGAATACCAAACAGGATAAGAACCGATATTAGGACCGAACCAGAATGAAATAGTAACCGAAATTGAATATTGTATCATCAATCCGAACTGGGACCCAACATCAATTTTCTGTCACGTTTACCGGTACACACTAAATGCGGTTCGGCGAGAACTGTGCTGACTGTAGATGTACTGGCAATCGACACTGCAAAAAATTACAATAAAATAAATCTCTGTGCCCACACTTCTCTGCATTGCGGTGTGTTTTGCTCTAAATACGGTCCCATTGTGCACCTCTAGACTGGCAACTTCTTTACTATTCCCTTTAAGGACCTATTTTTCGCTGCAAACCCGCTACTTGAAGATGACAGACGGCTAGCTCTGGGCGAACCCAGATGCGGAGGCACGTGGAAGTCCCTGAAAGTTTCGGCACCCCGATAGCTAGTACGCTAGTGGCATATTTGTTGTTAATGCCATGATACGAGTTTGATATTTCCGGAGACGACAAAAAACAAACGCTATTGAGCAATTTTCTAAAATGATTTGATAAATTCTGGAAGTGGAAAGAAACAGCCCTGACGGCTCAGTTCCTCGCTAATCCAACTCCCCCAGATGGACGAGTTTCTTGACCAACGCTATCCAGGAACCGTGCATTCCGACCTTATTGAATGTTTTAGTGTATACGAAGTAGGAAACATTTAGGAACCTTCGAACATATGAGTATTTGTGACAGCTTTTGTATCCCTTTGTGCATTCACAGATTTTCTACTCCTTTTTGGGATGTTAATACCGGGTGTTTCAAAGAAGGCTTTCAAAAAACTCTTAAAATAGTGTGGATGAGAAAAAAAAAGCAGAAAATTACTCTCTCCGGGAACAAACTCAGCCAAGACAGACGTCAAAGATTGAAAAAGAAAAATCGTTGAATATTGAACTAAATTGTTATAATTACCTTTTAATTAGTTAAAATAAGCATATTGTTCTAATTTAAAACTTGCTAAGCATAATCAAAAAACCTTAAATCAATAATTTTTTTTTTAAACATACAAGGCAAGGACAACATCTTACGACGTTACGAAAAGAACACACAATTTCGACGCATTTCTGAGTTGGGGTTTGTTCTCGGAGCATATAAGCGCCCGCGGTTCTACTCCTCGGTGGCCGAGACGCCCACCACGTGAGGGTCATACTCCCATCTGTCCTGCGACGGAGGCGAAGCGGCGGCTTCGCGTCTCGGCCACGGAGAAGCCGGACCGCGGGCGCAAAGATGCGCTCCATAAGAAACCGAAACCTAAAATGCGTTCAAAATAAGCGGTTTTTTTTTTAATGCCGCAAAATGCTGCGCCTGCCTTACATCTTTCGAAAATGAGTTATCTACTGGTTTTTTATGATGCCTAGCATATTTTTCATTGAAACCGTATATTTATTTTCACAGATTAAAAATTTAATTCGTGACTCTTTCCTAATTACTTGGCTAGTTAGCACGCTTTTTTGCAATCCTTGACGGCGGCCGTGAGTGGCAGTTTATTTCCAAAAAGAGTTTCATTTCGTTTTTAACCACTTTATATAATGCATTTTAGAAAGCCTTCGCTGAGGCATTCAAAACCTAAAGTGAACTTCATTTGTATAAAATATTATTGTTCATACATCTATCTAAATAGGTGTTTAATGATTGCTATGCACTCTAAGTGCAATGCCCGTTAATACAAATAACCGTAATTTTATACGATACAGCATTGGTACGCCGAAAACTCGCTAATTATTTCATCTTTGAACTTTTTAGAAAAGGCATGTGCCCTCCTCGTGCCCAAGAGCCAACTGGGACATCACGAGACGTGCTGCGACTTCATTTTTGACCTACTCTGCGATGCAACATCGAAGTTTGACATTTCAGACAGCAGCTGCCCATAAAAGGCTTGATGCAGCCTTATACATCTTGTTTGTTGCAGTCGAATTTATCGCTGTTATCAAATAGCCATAACTCTTGGCAATAAAAACTCGCCACGGTTGTAAAAAAAATTGAATGCAATTCTTTTTTATTTTGAAATTGGGCGTAGACTTTCTAGGGTTATCGAAAATTATGCTGTTTGCGTCGAAAAACACGCTAGAAAGCGACACTGAGCAACACCTGAATGTCACGTGATACCCGGAATGTGAGGATGCTGGGTTTGTTCGCATCGTGGACGCCAGAGCGGTACTGCGGGATCGCTTGCTTTTGAACGCTGTGCGGGGGTTCGTTATTATTGTTCTGTCAGCGGTGGCACAACATATGCGACTGAGAAAGGTGTAATTTCCATCCATGTCAAAAAAAAAAAAAAAGAAACAACTGGGAAAGTAGAGAGTTTATTAAAACGGGGTAAAAAGGTGTAAGCAAGCGTAATGTTGTGCTCGAACCAGATATTAGATGCTTTCACGACGTATCGTGTTGTGTTTTGTATTATGTTTTGCTTTTCTTTGCGAATGTGTTTCGTTCTCTTAACGGGTTTCTCTGGCGGGACTCGGCACCAACGATAATCCAATAATCCGACGCCTTTCCTTTTGCCCCGCATTCAAATTTATTTCTCCGTCTCCTCCTTGTCACCTGTCTCGCTGCAAAGATGAAGAAATTAACGGCCTTTTTTTATGTTGTCCGAAACGAAAGGACGCTTCTGTGTCTGTTCAACAACTTGGGTCCCGAGGATCTTACATTTGAGCAGGTGTTGCCTTTCTTACGGCGCAAAAGCTACGGTGCAGTGTTGTGATTGAGGAAAAAAGAAGAGTAGCAACTTATGTTGTATGTTTTCTATTTCGCCTATATGTATAGCCATTGGAAATATTTATTTTGTGCAATAAACGGTACGCTGCTGAACGTTTATGTTAAATACTACGAGTTTTCATCATTCTAGATGGTTTATGACCAGCAGAACAAATGTCATGTAGCGTCCTAAAATACTGGCTGTGATCTCAGGGTGTGTTGTGTTTTATTCACATTATTTATAACTGGACCAAAAAAGTGATATCTTTGTTTGCAGGTCAAATATAAAGAAAATTCCGCATCTTCTTTTTTTTAATCATATTCTCATTACGGTCATCACATAATATATACACCTGCACAATATCTTAAAATGGTTGCGATTGAAGCGTTAGTTGTTGACCAAATGATTTGCTAGTTTAAATACACGATCTTAACAAACTTACTTGTTGATAAAGATAATTTGACAAAACTATTTCCACTAGAGGCTTGCCTATAATTTTTTCTAGCTTTTTATTGTTTATTGTGCATTCAGATTAGGCTTTAAAGTTGTCTGCCTATTCGAAATGAACATTTCTTTTTGCGTTAACACTGTAAAGACTTAGTCATCAGCACTTGATATACCGGGAGTACTTACTTTTTACTGTTATTACCAAAATAATAAACGTGATGCTCCTGATGATTTTGTAAGCTTGGTAAAGTCAAGGACCTGTATAAAAATAAATTAGCGCAGGACTGCCCCTGTTTTAATTATACAAAAATCGTGATAGAGAATTTAGTAAGTTTGTGTCAAGAGAGGATACCAGATAAACACTCGTGCCATTGATTGTTCTTCAAGGAAGTGGGAGAAGAATGCTTTCTAAACCCCAAATAAATTTTGAAAAAAATTACTTTTAAAACATTAGTGAACGAAGAATTAGCGTTTTCACCGTGATTTCACCAGGACAAAAAAATAAATACATAAGAACACTCCAGATAGCAGCATCGAAGCCTCAGATGAAGAACTGCCAGACGCCAAATTTGTAATCGATCGCGACGAATGCCAATACGTGTTATAGAAACAAATACAAGATGAAAAGTTACTACTTAGACAGCGAGGCTAAACGGAAGTCCATTCAGCTGTGAGAACCACCGGTGGCGACGGGATCGCCATGAGAGACCTCACTTTGGGTTGGGCTGGGTTTTCGCTAGATGGCAGCAGCATAAACTTCTCGCTGCAAATATTCCATCTCAGAAACACATGCAGTGTTGACGAAGACACGGGTGCAAGCGCGTGGCTTTGAAAAGTGCCTCTAATGCGCAAGTTTTCGGGCAAAAAGAGCATTGTGCTGACATAGGCTCACGCGAATGCTCCTTCGTCTGTTTTGCAGACATTTATAGGATGCAATATACACTCTAAAAATATGGTCATAAAATAACTCTTAGCGGTTGTTGGCTTGTTCTTATTTTGGACTCAAAAAATTATTTGAAGCACCCCGTAAATGGTTCTTTGTGAAGAACGTACAAAGTGCTATTTAAAGTTTTATTTTTTGGCGAGAAAGTTCTTTGCGACAAACCCTTAAAAGTGATTTGGAGCCCTTTTTGATAGCAAGAGGTCGTTATGAACAACGGTTCAATAGCTGTTTCAAGTACTTTTTTATGAAACGGTACTTCATCAAGAACCTAAGAGAAGTTCTTTTCAGCTCGTTCTGTTCTTTTCTCTTCTTCACAAAGGAGCTTCGAAGGGTCTTTTTAAGCATTTTTTGCAATAAGTCAGTGCTTTGTGAAGAAGATTTCAAGAGACATTTGAAACAGGAGACGACGGATAAAGAAGGGGCAGTGAACGAGAGGTCTGAATCCTAGGTATCTTGTGGATTACCCCTTTTTATCTGTTGTTTTCCGTTTTCAATCTCTGCAATTGTGCCTAAAAATCGCTTATTAAAAAAAATGACCAAAAAGAACTGTTTCACAAAGTGCCCTTCATGATGATTTTTCTTCGTAATTTGACGCTTAAAAAACAATAAAAATCTTTAGCATTTTAAAGATCTAAAGTACGGCCAGAAACAGGCCTGGGACGACAGGGTTTTTCTTCTGGTGCTCTGCCTCAATCGAAAATTTCCTGGCTTCGATGGTGCGTCAGGAGCACATTTTTATTGCTGCTTATGTAAACATTAAGTTTTGAGGTATAGGAATATATATATAAGGAATACATGAGGTGCCCTAGAATTTCCCACTTGTCATTGGTTATAGGTGAAATCAACCGAGAACATACTTTTGTTCAAAAATATATTTACGTTTATTGAATATTAGTAAAATAAAATAAATACATTATTAAAAATGTATCTGGTATAAACATCATGGTTTTCTGGAATGACACACTTGAGGCTTGTAAGGCTTGACCTTCGTCCATGCAACCTTGACCTTAGCCCATGCATCAACACGCACATTCAAATTCATCAACTTTTGAATTCAGTCATTCCCCTAAAAAAGGTGGCGTCAACGAAAACTGCTCATGGCAAAAAAAAATCTATTGGGCACTGAGATTGGAACAATAATAAATACCCAAGTCAACCTTGCAAAACTGAAGTTTGGTATTTAAATGTTCCAAGGAGTTGGAAACTCAATGCTGATAAGTTGGTTTAGTAAACTAAGATGTGTATCTTTTAGTATTCCAGTTAAAATATGGTAGTCTTAAAGCATCACAGGCTTTTGAGAGGGAAATTAAACGCTGTCTGCAGCAAAATTTAGACACACATCCTCTTCAACAAAGTATCTGATTGTGCGGGGGGGGGGGGGGGGGAGGGGGGGCGATTGCACCTTATTCTTTGACATCTGCGCATGGCAACATTTAAATATTGAATTACGTACCTAAAGAAACTCGCTAAACATAACAGTTTCTGTAGAGCACTCCCAGCAACGAAACGTTGTTAGCGAATAGCCGCTTGCCAGTATACTTATACACCATGGAGGTAGGAAGCTTGTGGAGGCGACATTACGCCACCAGACTTGTGCTGGGGGAAACATCCGGTATGGAAGGGAGCGCCCCGAGAATGACCAGAACCAAAAGACGCTGTTGGACGAAAGGAAGAGCTAATTTGACGCCACCTTCTGCTTCGTTTACCCTTGAAGGCGTTCCCATGTACTGCGACCTCTACCTCCGGCTTCACTTAGAATTTGTTTCGTTTGGCTGGCTTGAGCCGCTATGTCGCTTCGTCTTCTTCCTTCCTCCATGTTATACACTAACACTCGGCCCTGACGTCACGTCGCCGCGATGATGCCCATGCACAGACGCTCCACTTGACGCGAATTGTGTTCCTGTGCACGCGTAGTGTCCACACCTCGTAACGGCTTGTTTGTAAACAGCGCGTTGGCCTACATCTTAAAAAAATAAAGATCAAAATGCGGCCTTTCAGGATGGCCATCTGAGACCCCTGTGAAACACACGGAAAAGATCTGACTTAAACGTTGAGCATGTGAAGCACCCTCATGGGCAGCTCAATAGAGTTAAAAAATACTTCGTATCCATGAAGACCGTTGCACCGTGGTAGAATGCGACGTACATTATATATGGAGCCGGGCAAAAAAAAAACACATAAAAAACAGGCAGCAGCACTTGTGGCGTGGCGGATACCTTTCACCAGCACCGATTTGTGCATGAGAATTTCGAATGGAGGAGGGTCAATTATATTTGTTTCTGCCTTCGTACAAAGCACGACAGTTGGCTGGCGTGGAGGTGGATCCTAGAAGAAAGAACAAATGTGTACTTATGTACTTGTGCAAATGTGTTCGAACTAAACACATATAGTTTACAAACGTTTCTACAACAGTAACAATTTAATAATTATTAACAAATAAAATATTCACCTCATTTTACAAGTATAAATGCTAAAACACGGATATCTTTTCGTCCTTGGTTCCTTGGATTGAAGTTGTTGACTGACATCGACATAAGTACTGTCAATCAAACTGTCCTGCTGATAGGAACAAAATCCTGTAAGCCATGACTTACAGTGCCCACAATAGATAATGCTTACGGTTACTAAGAGCATACTTAGCCTCTGAAAAGAAAACAAAATAAAAATTCACATTTTACTCGCGCTTCTTAATTCCCAAATCAGATACATTGGGCTCAATATGAATGGAGACAGAGCAAACCGAGAAGTAAAATGTTTGATGCAGGTTATAAAGGTTGATGTAAATGCCGCTCTCCAATCCTTGTGGAGTAGAAATGTAATTCGCACAATACGGAAATACACCTAACATGCACAACACTGTATTGTCGATTCAATAAGCACCCAGGCCAAAGTCCATGTTTACTTCAGTAGCTTCGCTTTTTCAAATCCTTTTCACAGGCCCTTAAGCGGCAAAGTCTTAGCAAAGCATAGGTTGACATCCTGACACTTACTGAAAGCTTATCTTTCGAGTACAAATGACAGGTATCTGCTTTGCAACCCTTTCTTGTTAAATAATTATAAGTGAAGTTCTCACGCTTAGTTATCGAAATTTAAATTGTCGTGCTCAAAATAGGGCTTCCATCATATCTTCATCCGACTGCAAAACATTATAATGTTCTTAAATAACGTTGACTTGGTCCAGTCTGGATAACTGGACTATGACCTGCTAATGTAATAAATAGAGTACAAAAATGCTCACCAGGCATTTCTGAATTTGGCATGTTTTAAGCGCAAGAAGTTAGAACTTTGCAGCTTGTCACTCTCTGTACAAGTTTCTTCGAATTCGTTCTCTTTTTTAGCCATTAGAAATTGAACTGTTCCATATTATGAGATTGAGCTCATGCTGCTGGTGGAAGGCAAATTATTCCGTGCCTGATTATCACAGCAATGCATTATTTTTTTCATTAAGACTGATCAGTCAGAAAGATATACTATACTGGAAAAACACTACACTTTATACTTAGAAGGTCATTAGGTTTTAGCCTCGACGACCTCAGTAGTATACAACTGCGTATAAACCCCTTACAGGGGTATTATGAGATGGTTTGAAACATTGTCAGTTTTATCTTTGAGATCAAAGTGTCCAGATTCTTGACATTTAATTTAAAATGTGGCACATTACAAAGCATGTTTTTGTTTCGTGACCATCTATCAACTACATCTAACAGG